CGGGAGAGGCCACAACAGTGAGAGGCCCGCGTACCGCAAAAAAAAAAAAAAAAGATTCTTAGCCTTCTCTCTACGGCTTTTGACTAACAGTTACTTCTAAAAAGGAATTGACACTTGATTTTTCTCCAATAGAAGTAAAAATTGAGAAAATCTCCCCCCCGCAAAAAAAGGGGCGAACAAAAAAATGAGGAGAGAGAGAAGGGGGTGGAGAAATGGAAAATAGCAGAGAAAAGATAACTTAGGGAACAAGTAAAGGAGATTAAAAAATCTGATTAATAGGAATTCCAGATATAGGAACAGTGAAAGTGAAAGAGAGAAATTATCAAAGGAATAATGCAAGAACATTTCCCAGAAGGGAAGGAAATGAGTTTCCATATTTAAAAACGCCCATGACATGCCCAGCAGCATGAATGTAGGGGCAGGAAAGGGTGGGTGCACATTACTGAGCAGAATACCAGGGTCAAAGAATATGTAAATAGGCCACATTCGAAGGATAGAGAATCAGAATGGCAAAAGATTTTTAAACACTGAAAACCAGAATATAACCAGAGCATGACTTTGAAATGAAGTGGAAATTATTTTCAAATTATTCAAGAATTCTATTCAGAGCCCAACGAAGTGAGAGAGTAGAATAAAGAACTCTCAGACATGTAAAGTCTCAAGTTATGTTATCATCCATGCACCTTTTGCAGTAAACAGTGGAAGATGTGCTTCTCCTCAAGAAAGACAATGACACTGGCTCCAGAATAGGGAATCCAAACCAGAAAAGATGGGTAGGGAATTCAGAGAAGTCCCGGCATGGCAGCTGCACTGCACATGGAGACCTGTGAAGCCTCAGTCCAGATTAAAGCAGGAAGGAAGAGCTCCATAAAGTTTTCCAGGAAAAAAGGAGAAGGAAACAGTTTATCTGACAGCTTGACCACGTGAAAAGTATAAACAGAGCATTTATAACTAAGTATAAACAGACTTGCCAGAGGATGTTGAAAGTTAAGCCACAGGTTCAAAAACAAACCCAAAGCAAATGAAAAAGTGAAACACTTCTTAATTCCAAGAAAAACAAAAAGTTGTACCAGAAAGGAAATGTCATCTTAGTTCATTAGGTGGTACAGCAGTGAAAAATTACAATTAAAACAGTACAAATACTGAATATGGATTAACCCCAAATTGTGATTAACACTGGGAGAAAGCAGGAAAAGAGTGAGGAGGAGAATTGCAAGAAAGTAAAATCCTTATATACCATAATAAAAGGTCAACTTTTTATATAAAGTCCAGGTTTATAGTATATCCATAACTAAAGTTTCCCATTTGTCTTTCTCTACAGAGAAAAAAAAGTGGGAAGAAAAAAAAGAGTAAAAGAGATTGAGTTCTTTTAGCCAAAAATTCATTGCATAAGGAGCAAATAAACAAAAAAGTAAGCGACTCTTCTTATGTCCCAAATGTGGGGGAAAGTCTATTTTTATTCTTGCAAAATCAAAGTAATATCCTTCAGAGCATGCACATAAGAAAAAAATTAATTCTCCCAAATATACTATACTCTCATGGAAGGAGGGAAGGAAGGAAGGGTAAGCTGTACTTACAAAACTATTTTTTGCTCACTAACACATTAATATCTTTATTAAGTCAATTTGAAAAAAAGGACACAACAGAAATAATATAAAATAACTTTTATTTACATAATTTACATCTATAGAATATAACTGCTTTCTTTAGAACAAGAAAATTTACAATGACAGATATTGCTTTTTGTCAAAGACTTCTTCAAGCAAGATAGTATACATGGTCACTTCTATTTCAAAAAACATGGTGGTAAACAGTGGATATTCATATTTTTATGTGCCTCAATCATTTACCAACAATTAGGCTTTGAAGCCATCTTGTTGATCACTTGCTAAGACGTAAGTGTTCAGGAGGAAAAGTCAAGAAAAAAATAAAGACCTTTAATCATATCTCTTTTAAGATTTATAAAATACAAATTCTTCACAACATCATCTTTACATGAGTCAGATTAAACACAGGTGTGAACAAGTCTTTCCACCTTGTAAGGTAAATATACTGATTAAGTTTCTTTTTCCAAGAGTAGTTTTAAGGATATAATAGTAGGATAATTTAGTTGTCTGACTTGATTCTCTAACACAATGAATGCCCAAAGACAAAATTATCCTTCATAGAGTAAGAAGTTACATCTTCCATAAAATTAGCTCATTGTAGATGAACAAGAGACAGATGTTAATTAACAAAGTTAAAAAGTAATATTAAACAAGGGATAAAATAATAGTTTAGCTATGACAACCAAACACCCAAACTAACATGAACTAAATGAAAGAAGCCTTTTCAGAATATGAGATTTTTAAAATTTATAAAAACAGGGCATTAAAATAGCTATGTGATTTGCTACTATGATTTCTGTGACATATTAACCCCATGAAATAAATAAATGCATATCTATAGAGAATTTCCTTATAGATCCTCCTTTATGACAAAAAAGTTTAAACTGCAAATTTCACTATAAGGCAATGAATAAGGAATGCTCTAATATCAATTGTTTTCATAAATTAGGATTACTGTTATACTTGCCAAGCCAAATCCAATTTTACTAATGAACTTGAAAACTGGCCACCATTTTTTTCAAATTACAAACAGAATTAGACATTAAAATATCTTCCCAACTGAAATACTGATTTCATAATGCAATCAAGGGTTTAAGTGTTAGGCACAACTCACAACTCCAGTGACAAATATCTCATAGGTAATGACATCGGCACCTTAAGGTAAGAAAACTACTGTCTAATGTATGGGTCAAACTAAAAACCCAACCCATCCATGTCCATCATTTAAGTATTGCCTGTAGCTGTTTTCATACTGAAGTGGCAGAGTTGAGTAGTTACCACAGAGGGCATCTGGCCCACAAACTCGAAAATATTTTCCAGAAAATGTTTCTGACTCCTGATCTAATCAACCCAGAAGGCTTTTCAAATAAAAGAATAAATCTGTTCTTTCAGAAGTTTAATTTGAACCACCAAAGATTGGCTTGGGTGGGTAACAGAATTACCTATGTAAATCACAAAATCTCAAAATTAAAACCAACCCTTAAATTCATATTGATGATAATCACTGACTTAATAAAGTCTTATTATCTTATTTTCTGTTTTTAACATCACAATTATGTTCTGTGCATAAAGGTCTAAGTACTTAGTTCCTCATGGAGAATTTAATGGGGGAAAAAAAAACTACCAAGAAATTGTTTTTTAAAAAAGGAATGTGTATATGTGAGCATATGTGTGTGTAATGGAGATGGAGTTTTGTATGGAAATTTGCCTCATAAATAAATTTAAGGATTTTTTTCCCATACAAATCCTGAGATTATCCAAGAAATAAGAAAAACAAAAAATTCACAGTACAAAGTCAATATACTAAACTATGAGAAAAAAATGTATTCAAAAAGTATATACTATCCAAACAATTTAGTTTTATCACTTTAAATACCTTTAAAATTAAAGAGGGAAAGGAGACAAACATAAATTTGTTAATGCTTTCTTTACCCATAATCTCAGGGGTAAAGATAATTAAAACTGAATATTCTTTTAAATAAAAAATTTAAAAATAAATAAGCTTTTTGATGTTTTATCTTTATAAATAGTAAGTTTAAATACTAGTTCTTCAATTAGGACTAATGTTACATCAACATGAATTAGAAAAATACACATTTTTCAGTCAAATAGCTGATAATAGAAAAGTTTTTAACATTTACCATACTAAAGTGGAGTTTCACAATTTCCTTTCACACACTTAGAGGCAACTGAAAAGGCCTTCACCATCCAAAAAAACAAAAAACAAAACCAACACTAAACAAACAGAAAAAAACCTTCACAAAAGGTTTGCTAAATGTTAACTACCATCCATCTCCAAATACGTCGGCACTGTGATTTATACAGAGACATTTATCCACAACATTCCAAGATGTCCATGTGTATTCAACACAGGAAGAGTCAAAATGTAAACAAGAGCTGTTACTTCTGTCTGAGAAAGCAGTCTTAATTGCTTGGTATTTCCAAAATGCTGAATCAATCAGAAGGAAAGGAACCTCAGCAATGTTTTTCACTGATTATAAAAGCTTCAAATCAAGCCTATTAAATATTCAAAATCAACCTAAAGAAAAATTGCCAGTGAGGCTTTTTGCTAGATACTGCTTTGTTGATATAACTGACTGTGGAAATCCTAGCCTTAGAAAAAATAAAAGAAAAAAAGAGAAGACTTTTATTCTGTTTCATCCACTTCAATAAAGATATCACTAAAGAAATATTCAGAGACTGTCATTGGCTCCTCTTCCGGTAGCCGGTTTTGGACATCTTTACATTCTCCTTTTGGTAAGGGATGATTACAAGAAACCTAAAAAGATAATAAAAATAAGTATGCAGTATAACATTTATATATTGATAGTGGTATTCTAAATCGATATCTGTTTGAAAAGCAATATAGCAATAAATATTAAGAGTTTTAAATATGTTTATACTCACTGACCCAATAATTTCATTTCTATGCTGTTATATTAAGGAAATAATCCTAAACATAGTAAGAGATAACCTTTGTAGCATTCGTTATAATAATAAAATTAAAATCAACCAATATACAACACAAAACATGATTAGGTTGACTGTAGTGTACACATGATTACTTCACCCTAATTTCTGTGAAAAAAAATAAATACTGAAAAACATAACATTATTAAATCGATAATGAAAACATTTTAATGACCAGAATAGAAGGACCCATGAAACAGAACAGTACGTAAGGAAATAACAGAAATTAAAGCAATCCTATCAAAAATTAGCATACTGGGCTTCCTTGGTGGAGCAGTGGTTGAGAGTCCGCCTGCCGATGCAGGGGACGCGGGTTTGTGCCCCGGTCCGGGAGGATCCCACATGCCGCGGAGCGGCTGGGCCCATGAGCCATGGCCGCTGAGCCTGCGCGTCCGGAGCCTGTGCTCCGCAACGGGAGAGGCCACAACAGTGAGAGGCCCGCGTACCGCAAAAAAAAAAAAAAAATTAGCATACTTATAAATCTAGAAAAAATGAAGACAGCATGGTATTGGCAAAGGAACAGACATACATATCAATGAAATAGAAGACTAGAAATATCCCTAACACATATGGATGGAAATTTAGTATCTGATAAAAGTGATATTTCCAAAAAAATTTGAGAAAAGTTGGATGATCCAATAAATAATGTTGGACAACTGTATAACTATCTCACATAAAGGAAAAGTCAGACCTATACTTCACCAATATATAATAAATTCTAGATGAATCAATAAACTTAAATGTAAAAACATTTTTAAAAAATCTACTATAAAATACCATGGGAAAATGTTTTTATAATCCTATAGTTGGGGAGAGAGTGTGTGAAGCAATGACATGAAAGCCAGAAGCCATAAAAGATTGATAAATTCACATACGTAAAAATAAAAAATGTCTGCATGGCACAAACCACCATACACAAAATCAAAAGATAAATGCCATAGAGGGAAAAAAATTTACAAACTGTATCACAGACATATGTGTTCATTAAGTCTATGAAGAATGTCAAAAATGAACACTGATAATACGCTAATGTAAGGAAAAAGGCCCTCTCATATACTGCTGATAAGAACAGAAACTTATATAATCCCTATGCAGGACAATCAGGCAGTGTCTGGCAAAAGAATAATCATTCCTTTAGAACAGCAATTCTATTTCCAGGAATTTAACCTATAAATGTGAAAAATCGTCCATTTATAAGTTAGCTGTTACCACATTATTTGTAGTAAGTAGGAATAACCTAAATGCCTACCAGTGGGAGGCCAGTATCACTCTATGGTACAGCCAAACAATGGAATATTATGTAGTCATTAAAAATAATGAGGGCACTTAGTCCTGAAAATAGGAAAATTTATGTCCATGCAAAAAGCTGTATACAAAAGTTCACAGCTTTATTCATAAAAGCAAGCACTAGATGTCCTTTGGTGGGTAAATGAATAAACAAAACTGGTACATCCATACTATGGAATACTATTCAGAAATAAAAAGAAACAAAGTATTTGATACATAAAATCATCTGGATGACTGTCTAGGGAACTACCGTTGAGTGAAAAGACGCCAATCCCACATATATGATTCCATTCATATAACATTCTTGCAATGACAAATTTAATGGCAACCAGCTTGCCAGAAGATAGAGAGAGAATGGGGAGCGGGAGGGAAGTAGGTGTGTCTATAAAAGGGCAACACAAAGGATGTCTGTGGTGATGGAACTGTTCTGTATGTTGACTGCAGCAATGCAATATAGTGGTTGTGATATTATAGGAGAGTTTTGTAAGATGTTACCACTGAGGAAAACTGGGTAAAGGGTAGATGGGATCTCTCTGTATAGTTGTTTACAACTGCATGTGAATCTACAGTTATCTCAGAATAAGAAGTTAATAATTTAAATTTTTTAAAGAGAGCAAGAGAGAGGAGGAAGCCCTTTATCTACTGTTTTGCAAGGTCTCCAAGACATACTATTAGGTGAAAAAAGCAAAGCAGAGACTGATACACTATTATTTGTGTAAAAAAGAAGAAAAATGTTTATATTTGTGTATATTAAAATGTCTCTGGAAAAGTAAACCAAAATCTGATAATACCATATACCTGTGGAAAGGAGGAACTAGGAAGCTAAGGGACAGATGTGGGAAACTTTTTCCTATAAACTCTCTTTTGTAGGTTATGAATTTTAAGACATGTGGAATATATTGCTTACTCAAAAAACTGAAGAAGCAATTTGAGGATAACATTTAGTTTAAATTCTTCCCTCACACTACATACCAAAGTCAAAAACCATGAACAGAGTTAAAGTTTTAAAATTTTATACCTCTGGAGAAAAACTTTTCATCATAAAAGCAATTTAACAAATTGCAAAGAAACAAGTAATGGATTTGACTAAACATTTAAAAGTTATGTATAACAAAAATTCCCCCAAATTTAAAAAAGTAAATAAACTTGGAAAAAATACTTGCAGTAAAGAGCTAAAAGGTATGTGGCTTCTTTACATACATAAGGATCTCATACAAATTGGTAAGAAAACTACTAAGATCCCCAAACTTATAAATCAGCAGAAGATAGGAACAAAAAAGAAAAAAAGAAAAAAATCAGAAAATCTAGTAAATATATGGGAAAGAACACAACTCACCAATAACTGAAGAAATGCAAATTTTAAAAATGAAATGACATTTCCAGCCCCCCACCACCATTATATTAAATAAGAAAAACAAATGTATTTTAAAGAGTAATATCTCAGACTGGCAAGAATGTGATTAAACCGCACTGTTACACTGCTGGTAATTACAACTATTCTCCAAAGTAATTTGGCAATAATAATAAAGACTCATAAAATCCTGGTCTCAGAATATAGTTGTAGGAAATAATTTAAAATATTTTTAAAACGTTAAAAATGTTCTTTACAAAAGGACTCCTTCCTTTGAGGCTCATGCTATCCAATAGATGGTCACCAGCCTTTTCCTTGTTGAGATCTGAAGTCACCCCAATGTTCTTCCAAAGTCTTTGATACAAGTTCACAAAATTTTCTGCCCCAGTACTTGCTATTACAGCTTCAGAGTGCACAGAAATGAAACATGCAAACGAATTCTAATTTTACTGTTCCTTGAATTTTTGTAGGTGTCATGACATTTGTCCCAAAGGAAATAAAATGCAAGCACTGCTTTGTTTTGCTTCCACAGGTCAGAAGGGTCTCTGCAGTAAAGGAATGGCAATTAAGTGTCCATTTATGGTTAGTTCAATGGCTCTATATTAAACTAGCTGTAACTTTCTAATTCAACACCTTATCTTCTTCCAGTACAGTGGGGTAGGATAGGGAGGAGATGGAGTGGAGTTGCTCTGCAATAATTTCTGATATTCAGATGAAAATAACAATTGCCATGTTTTTCCAAGTTGAGTCTGATATCCAACCCATTCTATACAAATAAACAAAGAAAGAGTAGTTATCACATACCTGAGTTGCTGAACTATCAATATTTTTAGGTTGAGTATTAACAACAACACTTGGAGATGGAAGATCAGAGGACTCTTGAGTTTTTTTCTGGCTTGTATTGAGCGGATTAGATCTTTTCAGATTCTGTCTTGATACAGGTATAAGAGGTTTCAGGCGTTTCTTGCTACGAACCTGAGTAGGTTCATCAGACTCCAAACTATTCTTTGAACATATTAAAGACAAAAATCCCAGGGGTCTTCTGCCAGGTCTAGAAATGCAAATGTAAAGATATTCAGCAATATCCAGGAAGACACATTCTTTTTTTTTTAAAAATATTTATTCACTAAATTTTTCATAGGCAGGATATTGCAGCAAAGAAGCTGAAAGCAGGAATGTGCCAAGTTCTATAGGACATCTATATCTGTATAAACTTTTTTTTTTTTTTTTTTTGGCCATGCCGCCCAGCATGTGGGATCTTAGTTCCCCGACCAGGGATCAAACCCATGCCCCCTGCATTGGAAGCACACAGTCTTTACCACTGGGCCACCAGGGAAGTCCCAGGAAGACACATTCTTAATGCCAACTTCTTTCCATGAATGCTAAAATGGCAGGTATGATACCACAGGAGTGGCACACCTACTAAATACTGATACACTAAGTACTGATATCACTCTGCCATGACGTATATTTGTGACAAAGGTCAAAGCTTACTCTACAGCAGTACTTCTCAAGCCTGAAAGGCATACAAATCACGTGGGGATCTTGTCAAAATGAAGATTCTGACTGAGTTGGTGGGGAAGTGGGGCCTAAGTCCTGTATTTCTACTGAGTTCTCAAATGATGTCCCTGCTGCTGGTGCCAGGACCACACTTTGAGTAGAAGGGCTCTAGAGCAGGGCTCAGCAAGCTATGATCCACAGGCCAAGTGAAGTCCACCACCTGATTCTATAAATAAGTTTACTGGAACACAGCATGCTCATCTGTTTACATATATGGTTACATATTACATATGTGGTATATTATATATACACACACCACATATGTAATATGTAACCATATATGTAAAAAGATGTGATTACATATCTGTTGAGTAGCTGAGTAGTTGCAACAGAGATATATGGCCCACAAAGCATAAAATATATACTACATGATCTTTTGCCCCCAAAATTTGCTGACCCTTGTTCTAGAATACTGCTTCTCAACTGTTTTAACCCAAACCCCCATGATGCTACCCTCATTCTATTTTCAGCACATCTCTACGCCAGAAAAGATGTAGTTTATATAACAAAAACACAGGTTCGTTAAATATGCCTTTTCAAGTTATACATGTCATTTCCCCCACTTTCCTTTAGTGGAGACTAGTACATGTCCTCCCTCTCCAACTCACCAACTCCACGTTAATGATTTGAATGCTGCCAACAAGCCAATAGTTATCCATAACCCAGAAGACTCACTTCTAGAGTATGAGGAAATAATGTGGGAGAGGCTGGCTTTGGGCTTAAATTCCACACTTAGTGTTATAGGGAGAAAGCCAGGGTTTACCTCTCTGGTATGCCACAAGAGAGAAAAACGCACACAGTATTTGGGACTTCAATAAAACAACCTCCAGAGCTACTTCTGATGTTAGCCCTATGTCTCAGACCATCTACATCTGCACTGGCAGCTACTGTATGGTAGAATAAATAATTATTAAAATAATAACCATGAACAATCTGGAAAAGAAAGTGTGCAATACTAAATTCTAAAGATTTTCTATCTAAAATCAAAGTTTCAGCACTTAAAGTGAAGCTCTAGTCATATGCGATGTCCTCCAAAAGTGTCTGACCTTACTGTATTTCCTTTGGTGACACCCCTTACCTTTACATTTCTGACAGAGGGGTATGATTACAAAACACCATCCTTAGTACTGGACTTAGTCGTTATACATGTTACACCTATTCCATATAGGTTATATTTATATACTGAGAGAGAAAAATGGAGAGAGAGAAACATTTATTAAAGATTTTCTCATGATACCTGGATAGTGGGGTTTTTGAAGACGATGTGATGCTATCCATTTGTTCAGACTTAGAAGCAGCACAAGTTCTTTTTTCCTTATCAGACACCCCTATCTCATCCTGAGGTAACTGAGATGTATTCTTTTCTTGTGTATCTGTTATTTTATCAAGAGGTTTAGATCTGATACTCTGAAAAGTTGGTTCAAGTTGCTCTTTCTGAGGTTCTGGAATTGTATGTGTGTTTCCTGAGGTAGGGAAGATACCTTGTCCCTTGTAAGACTCTCCTTCAAAAAAGAAAATAAATGGTAAGCACACATATGGAAATTAATACGTCCAATTAAATTGCAATATTTGAAGAAGAAAACCCATGATATTCTATCATGAACCTACCCTAATAAGAGTAAGCTAAATTAAAAATTAGTGGACTATTAGGAATATTATAATGGGTAAAAGCTATGGTAACAGCTTCTACCTTCAGATGTAAAATAGTCGTATCAATATATTTTGACTTAGAAAAGCTTTCTCCATAAATATTTCTTGAACTAGCAAAATTAAAAAGTGATCACTTTCTAATTAAGGGTAAAGCTAAGGTCAGAATGGCTATCATCACAAAATCTACAGTCAATAAATGCTGAAGAGGGTGTGGAGAAAAGGGAACCCTCCTGCACTGTTGGTGGGAATATAAATTGGCACAGCCACTATGGAGAACAGTATGGAGGTTCCTTAAAAAAACTAAAAACAGAGCTACCATATGATCCAGCAATACCACTCCTGGGCACATAACTGCAGAAAACAATAATTCGAAAAGATACATGTACCCCAATGTTCATTGCAGCACTATTTACAGTAGCCATGACACGGAAGCAACCTCAATATCCATCAACGGAGGAATGGATAAAGAAGATGTGGTACACATATACAATGAAATATTACTCAGCCATAAGAAAGAACGAAAAACGCCATTTGCAGCAACATGGATGGACCTAGAGATTGTCATACTGAGTGAAATTAAGTCAGACAGAGAAAGACAAATATCACATGATATCGTTTATATGTGGAATCTAAAAAAATGGTACAAATGAACCTATTTACAAAACAGAAATAGAGTCACAGATATAGAAAACAAACTTATGGTTACCAAGGGGGAAAGGGCGGGGGCTAGGGAGAGGGATAAATTGGGAGATTGGGATTGACATATACACACTACTATATATAAAATAGATAACTAATAAGAACCTACTGCATAGCACAGGGAGCTCTACTCAATACTCTGTAATGACCTATATGGGAATAAAAATCTTAAAGAGTGGAGTTATACATATACATATGTATCAGTTATACATATATATAACTGATTCACTTTGCCATACAGCAGAAACTAACATTGTAAATCAACTACACTCCAATAAAAATTAATTTAAAACAAAAAAGGATAAAGCTAAGGACCTATAAAAACTCCTTAATACCCAGCTTTCTAATTCCTTAAATGTAGTTGTTGAGCTTTTACAGGAAATCTTGGAGCCATATGATTTTCTATTAAATACAGGATGAAAGTAGCTTTTCATGGCCACCAAAGTGCCAAATCTAAGATCTCAGAAGGGAAGAAAAACCTCTAATAATAAAGGCGTGATTCTTAAAGAAAAATGAGCAAGACTCTGCTTCAATCCCAAATTTAAACAAGATATATCAAAAATAATCAGGGGTACTTAGCAAAATGCAACCACATTAAAATTTATTTTACTCACCTGTTTTCTCCAAAACATTTATTACTTCCTTTGAACACACCTGTTTTAAGAAAATTTACAAAAAGAATTAGAAAGCTATTTGTCAAATAAAATTAATTTTATTTCCTTCTTTCTTTCTTAATCTTATTTCCTTCTTTCTTTTTTAAGTAAAGAAAACCTGTATTTCCCAGAAAGCTAGGGTCAGACATGTTTTATGGGAATTCTACAAAACATTTATGAAAAAGACACTGCAACTATTATTTAAATTATTCCACAGCATAGCAGAAGAGGGAAAGCTTCCAAATGCCTTTTATAAATCAAGCATCATATTGATACCAACTAACCAGTCTCAAATCAGTGCAAAAATATCAAATGAAATATGACAAGCATAATTTAGCAGCACATCGAAAGACTAAAACATCACGATCAAATAGAGTTTGTTTGAGAATTCCCTGGCGGTCCAGTGGTTAGGACTCCACGCTTTCACTGTTGAGGGCGCGGGTTCAATCCCTGGTCAGGGAACTAAGATCCCACAAGCTTGGAGGCACAGCCAAAAAACAAAAAAAACGTTGTTTCAGGAATACAAAGATGATTTAATATTATAAAACATATTAATAAAAATCAACAGATCTGAGGAGAAAAATAATATCATCTATTTGCAGGAAAAGTGTCCAATAATATCATTCTTAAAAAAAACCTGTAAAATTGGACAGGCATTTTCTTAACACCGTAAAATACAACTATTGCAATCCGAAAGGCAGCATCCCACTTCATAAACACTGGAAGTATTCCCATTAAAGTCAGGAATAAGAAAATGTTGTCCACTATCAGGACTATTTTCTGATTTTTTAAAGTTATATTATCCAATATAATTAGAAAAGAAAGAAATTAAAGGTGTAAAAAGTAGAAGAGAATAATTAAAATTATATTTGCAGATGATATAACTGTTTACTAAGAAAACTCAAGAGAACCAACTGAAAAATTACTACACACAATGAGGGTAATTCAGTAAAGCTCTCTAGATTAAAAAGAACTCAATGATAATAGCAACAAAAAAGATAAAATTCTTAGATATAATCCAATAAGAAATGTACCAGATTTATATGAAGAAAAACTTAAAATACCCCTGAGAGACAGACACAAAAGAAGTCTTAAACAATTGGAAAGACACACTGTGTTTCTAGACAGGAAGATTCAACATCACATTTATGATGTCAATTTTCTCTATGTTCATCTGTCAACTTAGTATGATCCTAACACAAGTACCAATAGGGTTTTTTTCTTAAGCTCTGAATAAGCTAATTCTGAAATTAATATAAACTTTAAAACATATAAGCAGACTTCCCTGGTGGCACAGTGGTTAAGAATCCGCCTGCCAATGCAGGGGACACAGGTTCTAGCCCTGGTCCAGGAAGATCCCACATGCTGCTGAGTAACTAAGCCCATGTGCCACAACTACTGAGCCTGCGCTCTAGAGCCTGCAAGCCACAGTTACTGAAGCCTGCGCGCCTAGAGCCCGTGCTCCGCAACAAGAGAAGCCACTGCAATGAGAAGCCCGCGCACCACAATGAAGAGTAGCCCCCGCTCGATGCAACTAGAGAAAGTCCGCGCGCAACGAAGACCCAACACAGCCAAGAAAAAAGAAAAAACGTAAGCGACTAGGAAAAACTTGGAAAAAGAAGAAAATTGTATTGGGGGTTGGGGAGAGGGACAGACTATCCCTTTTTTTTTTTTTAAATTAATTTACTTCTGGATGTGTTGGGTCTTCGTTGCTGCGCACGGGCTTTCTCTATTTGTGGAGAGTGGGGGCTACTCTTCTTGCGGAGCACGGGCTCTAGGCACGAGGGCTTCAGTAGTTGTGGCTTGCGGGCTCTAGAACACAGGCTCAGTAGTTGTGGTGCACAGGCTCAGTTGCTCCGCGGCATGTGGGATCTTCCTGGACCAGGGCTCGAACCCGTGTCCCCTGCATTGGCAGGTGGATTCTTAACCACTGCGCCACCAGGGAAACCCCCAGACTATCCCTTTTTAAGACAGTAAAGCACTTAAAAGCTACAATAATTAAAACAGTGTGATACTGGCCCCAGAACAAATAGGTAAATCAATGAAGAAGAAAGGAAAGTTCAGGAATATGCCCAAATATGTATGGGAATTTAATATCTGACAAAAGTGGAATTTCATTTTATTTTTTTAAAAATACACCTTTATTTTATTTTTTGGCCACACCGTGCAGCATGCAGGATCTTAGTTCCCTGACCAGGGATTGAACCCTTGCCCCCTGTGGTGGAAGCTCTGAGCCTTAACCACTGGACCGCCAGGGAAGTCCCCAAAAGTAGAATTTTAAATCAGCGGACAAAAGATGAATTATTCAATAAATGGTGCTGGGACAAACGAATAGGCATCTGGTGAAAATTAAGTTGGTTCCACTGTTCTTAAAACCAAAATAAATTCTATACAAATCAATAATATTAATTAAAAGAATTTATATTAAATTCAAGGTAGACCTTCAATGTATAACACACTCCATAAGCTATACAGAAAAAGACTAATAGGGACTTCCCTGGTGGCGCAGTGGTTAAGAATCCGCCTGCCAATGCAGGGGACACGGGTTTGAGCCCTGGTCCAGGAAGATCCCACATGCTGCGGAGCAACTAAGCCCGTGCGCCACAACTACTGAGCCCACGTGCCACAACTGCTGAAGCCCGTGTGCCTAGAGCCCGTGCTCCGCAGCAGGAGAGGCCACCGCAATGAGAGGCCCGTGCACCACAAGGAGGAGTAGCCCCCGCTCACTGCAACTAGAAAAAGCCCGCGCGCAGCAATGAAGACCCAACGCAGCCAAAAATAAATTAATTTAAAAAAACAAGGCTAATAAAAAAAAATTTTTTTTTTTGGCCATGCTGCACGGCTTGCGAGATCTTAGTTCCCCACCAGGGATCGAACCCAGGTCCCAGCAGTGAGAGCACCCGAGTCCTAACCACTGGAATGCCAGGGAATTCCCGAAAAGACTGATATATCTGATTACAGAAAAATAAAAAGTATCTGCATGTCTATCTGAGTACAGTGTATATACATTCTAGAATTTAAAATTATAACTTTGGCTATTTATAAGCAATTTTTTATCGTTAAAATGCTGAAAACAGTTTAGAAAATAAAAGCCACAAACAGGCCGAAGAGGCACTATACATACTTTTCTTATATATTCAGTCACACCAATGTATATCTATCATTTTTTAAATGGCCTATTTTAAACTGGTGACCTAGTTTTGCATATAGTGATGTACTCTGATCTTTTTTCCATGTCATTAAATATACTTTTAAAATAAAATGAAACAGTGTCTGCATGGAATGCTGACAAAATGTTGAAACAGGATGACTGATACATAGGGATACATTATACTTGCCAGTCTACCTTTTTAAATGTTTGAAAACTTTCACATTAAAAAGTTTAGCAAAAGAAGCCTGTATGAGAAAATCACAAAGAGTAGAATTAAAAGACAACAATCTGAGAAAAAAAAATTTGCAACTCATATCACAGACATACAAAACAGAGAGTTCCTCCAAATCTACAAAACAAAGATCAACAAACCCAACTGAAAAATGGGTAAAGAGTATAGAGTCACGTCAAAGGAAAGGAAATACAACTGGTTCTTAAGCATATGAAAAGATGTTCAACCTTACTCATAAGAGAAATTAAAAAGTATTCCAGGATACCACTTTTTAACCGATCAGATATGGCAGAATACACCGCCTCTGTTGTCTACTATCATCTAAGGACTATTGGTCTTCAACTGTCCCTTAGAGAATAGAGATTCTAATTTTTCCATAGTGTTGTTCTATAGTGTAGTAACTTATGATGATTACCAGAAACAAAAACAAGAGGGTGCTTAAGAAACTTACAACACAGTGGCTGGTAACAATCTGCACTGTATTGTCAGGTGTCCCTGAGGTAGTGATGACTGAGCTAAAGAAGTCTGTGTTTTGCAAGGGAATGTTTCATAAATGAAGAAACAGCAAAAGAAAAGCCTGGGACATGAGGAGTACGGTGCATTTGAGAAACTGAAAGATGGTCAATATGGCTAGCGAGGCAGAGACCAGCACAAGATGAGATTAGACACAGAAAACAGCCAAACAAAAACAGTGGCTTAGAGGTTCTGGTTTTATTCCTAAGAGCAACGGGAAACTTTAAGCATTATGATAATGGTAGTGATGATATCACTATTACCATTTTACACAGCAGGGAACTCATTCAGAGAAGTGAAGAATCTTGCCTAAGATCCCACAGCTGTTAAGTGGTACAGCCAAAATCCACATCTGTATGATGCTTTCAGCTTAATTTTTAGCCAATGACACTGAGCTGGGAATGGGTTTTCTGATTAATATCCATCAATTTTCACCTAGAACTGGTTGAAAGTAAAAATCCAAAACTGGTTTTATCTGGATCATTTATGGTAAAAAGTATTAGAGCTATCTTTTTTTTTTTGCGGTACGCGGGCCTCTCACTGTTGTGGCCTCTCCTGTTGCGGAGCACAGGCTCCAGACGCGCATGCTCAGCGGCCATGGCTCACAGGCCCAGCCGCTCCGCGGCATGTGGGATCTTCCCGGACCAGGGCACGAACCCGTGTACCCTGCATCGGCAGACGGACTCTCAACCACTACGCCACCAGGGAAGCCCCTAGAGCTATCTTTATATAAAGAGTCTAAAGGAAAAAGAAAAATAGATCCGTTAAAATATGGCCGTCTTACTTGCTTAATGATTCCATCTTACCTCAGAGGTATATTTTTGACAATCATCTCTTAAAGTGAGTGAACTTTTTTTGGCAGGAGGAACATGGTCACTTTCGTCAAGCCTACAGTGAAATCTCTTCCTAGATACAAGATCCAAATTAGCAGGAGGCTTTTCGGAATCATCTCTTCCAGAATTAGGTAAACACATGTCATCCTGACCAGCTGAAGTTACTGGAAAACTGATACTGCATAGAAAATACACACACATTAAATTAGTTATTTTATGAGGTTAAAGCCTGAGCTATTCCAATGAAAACTGCCAAAAAACTTCAAAGTAACTAATATATACATGGCCATGGCCACAAAAATGTTAGTTTTGAGCTCCATTCATACTTAAAAACTCACAACTTAAGTTCCATAATATTGAATTAAATCTGAGGCATAAAAATAATGTTTTCTTTGTCAGTAAAGTTAAATTTTAGTCTAAAATGTCTCTTCCTAATATAAAAGGCTTCAATTTCTAATGTTACTTGATAGACAATAAAGCATCTTAACCAATGACTATTAAAATACAACTTAAGAATTGTACAGCAAAGAATATCAAAAATATTTTAAAATATATCCTTTGTACTATTTTTGCAACTTTCTGTGAATGTATATTTATTTCAAAATTTAAAAAATATATAAATGTATACAAAGTAACCTTTAACAGATGCTATTTTATGATTCAGATTGCTAAATTTTTTTAGCTTTCAAAATACTTAAAATGCCAACAAAGTTTCATACAAAAGTATTATATTATACATTTAAATGGCATCTTTATCAGATATAAAATCAGTAATTTCTTCTCTAATTTACCACATAATTACTAAATAAGATCTCCATGACAATTACAAATAATGTTGGTGAATGGCTTGTTCATTCAATACTATTCAATTCATAAAGCACCCCTACCCTGTAGCAAAAACAGTTTAGTTGATTCATTACCTCATGTCCCCCCTTTCTTCTGTATTCACTGATTTGACCAATATGGGGGCTGGCAGTAAAGGGTTTGGCATTAACTGCATAGTGGTATCAGCAAATTCTTCTACTGCATTGGTTGGGATTTCCACCAGAGTTAAAATGAATGCTTGTTCATCCTCACCTTCTTGATGTACATTAGCAACTAGATTCATTATCAAAGTTTAAAAGTTAGTAATGAAAAGCTGAACCATGAAATGACAGAAAATCATTAATTTATTTCACTTCTAAAAAGTCTCATGACAACTTATCCCGAAGAATAAAAAACTAAATTATACCCCTCAAGAAACAAATAAATAAAAATTTCGTAAAGGATAAAGATGATTCACTATGGAGAAGATTTATAATTCCTTTTTTTTTAAGATTTATAATTCTGAATAACAAAACTTATATACAAAATACTTCAAGTTTTTTTGTTTTTTTTAATTTAAGGCCAACATAGACCAACAAAAACTGCTTTGTTTTTCCATAGTCAAATGGGCAATAAAAAACATACTATTAGGTTCTAAGACTCTACTGAAGCAGATTATCATACCTGTTAGGTCTTGAGGATTGTTTATATTCTCTTGTTGGACTTCTGGAATACTACACTGCCATAAAAAATTAAAATGAAAGAGTGAGGTTGACCAAATCTCAGTTTTAAAAAGTTTTCCTGACAATGTGATACTGTGAACAGTTATTGTTTCAAAAGTCAACAACTTATCTAACCTATATACAGAATTTTTCAAGTGTTTTGAAACTTTTAGTTGTACCAATAAAATTTTGATTCCTTTAAATAAACACATATATATACACAAGGGAATTATGACTAAATTGTTAAATACGTGTAGGCTATGAAATGATTTTTAAAGTAACAGAAAAGGGAGATCCAAACACTTCAACCTTCTCTCTATCCCCATCACAGCAGCCACTGTACCATTAGTAGGTGACATGTATATGGAAGCAAACTGGTCTCCTTGCCCCCAGCATGGCTCCCTCCAATCTGTTTTCCACAAAACTGTAAACATTGTTTTCTCTAAAATGCAATTCCAATTGTAATTCTCTACTACTTAAGATCTTAAAACTTTCACTTTGCAACCAACAATGTCAGTAATTGACTCAGGCAAGAATCATCAATGCATACTAAATTACTTACTAAGTGGAAAAGATGCAATTATAATGGAGAAAACTGGTAGGTACCATTCTACCCAAGTGATCAGTCAGCAACACCAATAATGGGACAAACCAACATTATGTGTCCCCTGATATGATGCAAAAGAAGAGCAAAACATCACCTATGTAGTACTCTTGCAAAAAAAATGTTTAACCTGAATCTAATAAGGAGGAAGCAGTAAAAGAAATCCAGATTATAGACTAACTTGGACTCTTCTAAAATGTCAAGTACAGAAAAGAGGAAAAAGGGCAAGAGGACTACTCTAGATTAAAAAAGTAAGAAGAAATGACAGCTAAATGCACTGTAAGAGGTTTGGTTGCAACTGTATATTACACATTATTATTAAATCAATGCTAGGTAGTATGGTAATACTGAGTGTGGTAATGGTATTGTCATTTTTCTGTAAGAGAACATCCTTGGTCTTAGATACAAGCTGGAGTATTTGTGGGTGAAGACTCATGTCTACAACTTACTTTCTGATGGTTTAGTTGTTTTAAAGTACCTACCAAGATGGAGAGCAACACAGAGAGAAAATAACGTTTAGAGCTAGGTATGCACGCAAATGAGGCAAAATGTTAACAGATTTCTATGTAAGATTCTTGCAACTTTTCTCTAAATTTGAAATTATTTCAAAATAAAAAGTAAAAATTAAAAAGTTGGGTGGTAGGGGAAAATCCCATAACTTTGGATGTAACCCAAACTCCTTAGCAAGCCATAAAAATTCATTTTATGATCTGTCCCCAGGCTACCTAACTTCATCTCTAAGCACTTTCTTCATTTATATTCCACTCATAGCTACTTATACAGTCCCTGAGCATGTCATACTGTTTCACACTTGTTCTTTGTACATGTTCCTCTCCCTGTAACTGGCTAATTCATACTTGTTCTTCCAGATCAAGGATTTGCTCAGTGCTGGGTGCACATTAGAATAAGCTGGGGAACTTTAAAAAAAAAAAAAAAAAAAGCTAATGCCTGGGCTCCGCCCACTGCCCCCACCAGATTAGTTTTGCTGGTCTGGGTTGACGGCCACTCCAACTGAGTCTCACACAACTCTCTTTCATAACACCTATCAGACTGAGTTTAACCATTCATTTACTCACCTGTTCCTCACAAGGTTGTGTTCCAAGTATCTCACATAGTATTGCACATGCAACATCTCAATAAACACTTGCTCTGAGAATGAACTTCTCAGATCCAGGGGCTAAGAAGCAAGAGTTCTCTCTGTACAAAACACTTCCTTTTTCAAAGCTTTTACAACAAAGCTAGGTATTGGTTATTTTATCTCTATGTTCCAGAGAATAAAAACATATTCAATACATTCTTGCAAAGGCAAAATTATAGGGAAAGAAAAATGGTTGTCAGGGGTGGGGGGTGGAGAGAAGGAGTAACTAAAAAGGACCCTGGAAAAGTTGGGGAGTGATGGAATTGTTCATGTATTGGTTATATGATTATAAATGTTTATGAAAATCTGTAGAACTGAACACTAAGAAGGATAAAGTTTATTGTGTGTAAATTAGAGCTTAACGTTTTAAATAAGGAATAAACAGCTGGCCACCCCGTTATATTTTACATTCTTTTACCTCTGGCACATGAAGTATAAGCACACTGTCTCCGTTAGAGTCCTTTTCCAGGGGCTCTTCGACAGAACTCTCACCAAGACCCATACCCAAACCAAGTGTGTGGGGCGTTGACTCAGATGAAACAACAGGAGCAACTGAAGACAGCTGAACCTCTGCAGACCTCCCTTCTTCATCTTCATCTCTGAAAGACAGATTAGTATGTATCTGAAATCAAGGAGACAACCACAGAACTATGTTTAAAGCTAGGTATGTCAAAGTTCATCTAATTTAATGGTTTTCAAACTTTTAAGATAGATTTAATGCAACCGAACAAATTCTTACAGCTACTGCTTATGCCTATAGTTGACAAAGAATATAAATCAAATCCCAGAATATCTTTCCTCTTTTACCTTCCAGTTAGGCGTGCTTCTTGTGAAATACTGGTTTCTTCAATACCGTGTACAGATGCCAATTTGCTCTGCTCCTTACTCTCTGCTGTTGTAACTGATTCAAGGTTTTTATCTTCTAATTCTCTCCCTTTAGAAGCATTTTTCTCAGTTTCTTAAATAAAAAATACATTTAAAATATAGCCCAAAATAGTAAAGTCAAAATCTCCATATTAGAAACATATTCTGTTTTCAAAGATCACTACATAGTGGCTCTTCCAAACTTCCCTTAATCCAAAAAGCAAGCTTATTCACATGGCAAAAAGGTGGTCTGGGTCAATTACACTTTTTAACATAAATGAGATAATTAACGAGTCTGCACTGCACATATTTCACTCCTGGCAGCCACAGCTATTGTATCTCTACTTCACTGTAATAGCAGTATAATCAGAAACCCATATACAGAAGAGGTTTAGAGGTGGGTACACATGAGGCCTGGCTGGTTCCACCTTGGGGGAAGTGTTGGGGAGGGAGCTGTTCTGTAATGAATAATGTCAAAAAGCAGAAGAAAATGACGTCTGTATAAAAGAAGTAACTGGGGTCTGCACACTGAGAGACCTTCCGGGTACCGATCAAGCCAAAGTAATGAATTAACTAATTGAACCACAGGAATTGTTGGCTAAAAGAAAATCCCAGGGATCAAGAACCCCAAAACAGGGAAAAGATGATGCTAACCATCCAGATCTTCTACATATGGGGTTGAATATAATCTAGGCAGCCTACCACTTACACTGCTTTTCCTGCTCCCACTAGTACCCTTGGGACCTTGGCAGGGAGGGGACACGGAAAATATAGTGAGGCTATTGAAAAAATGAAGTAAGAGCACTATGCAATCATACGGAAAGATTTTTTTTTCAATATATTAATCTTTAAAAACAGCACTAACATATAAAGAACTCAATAATAAAAAGACAAATAACTCAATTCTAAAATGAGCATAGGGACTTCCCTTGCAGTTCAGTGGTTAAGACTCTGCCTTCTAACATAGGGAGTGTGGGTTTGATCCCTGGTCGGGGAGCTAAGATCCCACATGCCTCA